TTTTTTAAGGATAGATACAACAATGAGGCACATTATAAAAATATTTCAATTCATATACCTACAAGGTATTCGAAATAAGATACACAACTAAGTTCTGTTTTTTTAAATGAAAACCCCAATTTTTTATTACATTTCTGGATTCGCCACTAAATTGTCAATATAACGCACCTTGGTTTCTTAGACTTACCTGCAATAGTTTTTGACTTATGCCGATTTATGTGTCAAAATTACATCGTACATAGACCCACAAAAAAATTCATAACTTCAAAATTATTCAAGATAATTTAACAAACTTATTTCCAGTTGATTCCTTAAGCTTAAGCGCGTCTTTTTTTTACTCGCTGGGATACCCTGTATGTTATAAATATGTATTTTGTATTCTCTCATGTAGCAAAATTATTGCGGTTTCTATCAAAAAAATCTTACTAGATGTGTGGGATCGGAATCTTCTGGACAGTGATCGGCCAGCGCTGCTAGAAATTCCAAGGCAGCAAGAAGGAAGGCACAGGCTGGAGGAACGTCGTGGACGGGGCCTCGCACCGCCAAACAACATTGGGCCAATTGTTCAACAATTCCAACGCACACGCAAAAGCTGAAAAAAACGGAACATGTGTTTTGGATGGATAGTGTCACGAGTAAAAGCGGAGCTAAGAGGCTGCAGATGACACATCTAATGTGATTATAGGGTGGGTTGAAATGCGGCATGTGCCCAGGCTCCCACACATGCCGACATAACTTATACACCTTATCAGATTAGAACGGTCATTGCGAGATGGCTAGTTAACAACACAGATGTGACTCGAAACGCATATGCTTACTGCAGGCCCTCCTGATTGTTGCTAATAAAGTGTGTGTTTCGTCACAGGTAGACTCCCTTAGCTAATAAATACATCACGAGCGAAATAATAGAGAAAGAAGGAACAAAAACACATTTTTCGGTTGAAAATTTATAAATCCTAACAAAGTTTTTTATTAAATCATAAAGTATTTTCATCTACTCGTACATCCATAATAAAAAAAAATAAATAAACAAACAAAATTAAATAGTAAAAAAAATGTTCACATAAACTTTCAAATTTCGACCTTATATATAAAATCCACGAGGTCTAAAATTGAGTTTAGTTAGATTTAGTAGGTTGTTAAGTGACATAAGCTTGAGTAAGTATTTAATTGATCACAAGGTTTTTAAAATCCCTAAAGGTTTTTGAAAGACTTATTAGAATTGTAATTTTGAAATGAGACACTTCCAAAACTCCAGTAGTTTAATAAATATTTAAGAATTTTGAAAATCGGTAACATTTCTATTCATTAAACAATTATATAAATCGGTTGTTTCATGGCTTAAAATAATAAAGCCCCCTTGATATCTTTCCGAATCTGGAGATGGTTTAATCAAAAATGTGTGCACCATTATGACGCCTCAGCAAATCACTATTCCGATCAATGAAGTGAATTTGATAATGATTAGAAACGTCGCCGTCGCCTGGAATAATGTCGAAAGACATGGCATAAACGGGACATAATGTCAATTCATAGCCGAGTAGATCGGACCCCAAGTTGTTCGCCGTCCCCCTCACATTCGCACTTCCCTTTTTATTATTTTTTAATCACCGTCAAGTCCAATCGTTACAGATTAATTTATTCCGTTTGTTTTGTTTCCAGCTATTTGGCAAACAGTCATTCTGTTTCTTTATTATCATCGTTTTCGTTCGTAATTAATTGACTACATGCTCCAGCGAGTGAAGCTCTCCATCCTGAGACACATGCAAATAAAGCTCGAGTTCAATATAGCCCGGTGAGGGCAACACAAACAATCTAAAATAGCATTTGAATCTAGCAAAAGCCACTAGAGCACGCTTGACCTGTCTCTGAAGTAGTTCATAAGCCCAGCGCGGCCTAACTTTGCTATTAACTTGTTGTAGAGGAATGGGTGCCGAAGCCGGCGGTCTGAAATTGGTGTCGATGAATATCGAAGGTTTATTCATTAATGCTTATCTGATAGAAGCATCTGAACAAACACCTGATTCGGTAGTTTTCAACCGACAAGTGCATCCGCGGCACTCTTTTTGCCTGAAGCAAAGTGAGTGGTTGGTTAAGTGTGATGATGGGACTGGTTGCAGAGAAAATGTGCTAAGAAGTGCACTGGCTTTCCAAATCTGGCCCGATCTCGTTTCCCCTCGTATGTTTGGACAGAGGGTCCCTGATGGAGCCGCTTCAACTACTGCTGGGCTCTTGTTACCGATGAGAAACTGGACGTCTGGGAAATGACATGTGGATGCGTCTACTTTGCTTAGCAGAACGATGACTCAAATCGGAAATGATCATATAAGAAAATTGATTGTAATTGTTATAATTATTAGTGACAATTCCATACGAACTCATCCAATAATAATTACATTTTACGCACTTTTCCGAGTCTTAAAAATCCTTAGAAGTACCGTCATTTTGTCCGATTTTAAAGTTTTCTGTTTTTAAAATTTTTTCAAAATTTTGAATGACCTACACTACAGGTTGCTGCATTTTGGATGTTCGAATAGGGAATCTCCGAAACTAAGATGTTTAGCCAAAAACGAGGATACATTCTGGAGCTCATTCTTTGAGGAAATAATATTGGTTAAAACCGCATCTCGCTATCGTCTTTTGTTTACGACTTACAAAGTTGATATTTTGGCGAAATCTAAAAAAAATTCATATCTTTGTTATTATACAAGATACGGATTTAAAATAAAGACATTATACAGACGCTTTTTTACGAGGAATTTAATAATGTAGTTAACAATTTTTTTCAGTTATTAGTTTAGCCGTAATAAAATAAACTTTTATTTTTTTAAATGGAAATCATAGGCGGCTTTGGCAAAACTTATTTTTTTCTGATCTAAAAAATATATATTTGTAACAGAATATTTTTTTATAACTATACTTAAAAAGTGAAATACATATTTTGTTTGATAATAGTTGGCCATAGAAAAACTATTTCACGCCAAATGTGTAAATAGTAATCAATAAGAGTTTTGTGAACTGTAAAATAAATGAAAAAATAGATAAAATTATAAAAATTTAAAAAATACGATACGTTAGAAGTATTGAACAAATATGCAAGCGCCTCAGAACAAAATTATTACATATTTTTAAAAAATCAAAAAATAGGAAAAATAAATGTGTCAACAGTTAACACAATTAGAAAAAACATTTTTTTGATGATCTAATGGAGGTAGGATAACGTTCCACATAGACGGAATTTGGGTATTTGAATAGCTATATCGTCATTTTTGTGTCATATAAAATATATTTTATTGAAGAATTAAAGCGGCTTTTTTTACAACACTCTATGTATCACTAGACATTACAGTGGTAATGTTAGCTTGTTTAAAAACAAAGAAATGTTATTAGTCGCCAATAAGTAGATTTACGATTTATTTTGCATTTTTTTCATTACTTAGTACTTAGAAAGCTCTTTCATTAGTGACACTGGTTGAATAATATAGTTTAAATCCTTTTAGTTTAAGATGCAACATTTTTTCATGGCCAACTGTGAACAAAAATCAAAGATAATTTTTTTGCTAAAAATGTATTATAATAATTTGTTACAAATGTATATTTTTTAGATAAGAAAAAACAAGCTTTTTAAAAATGACATAGCCATCTATGATTCCCATTTAAAAAAAAATACAAGTTTATTTTATTACGGCTAAACAAACAACTAAAAAAAAATTGTTAGCTACATTATTAAATTCCTCGTAAAAAAGTGCATGTAGAATGTCTTTATTTCAAATCTGTGTCTTCTATAATAACGAAGATATGATTTTTTTTAGATATCGCTAAAATGTCAATTTTTGTCTATAAGTCGAAAACAAAAGACGATAGCGGGATGCGGTTTTAACCAATATTATTTCCTCAAAAATGAGCCCCAGAATGTATTACTCGTTTTTGGCTAAACCTCTTAGTTTTAGAGATTCCCTATTCGGACATCCAAAATGCAGCACCCTGTACAAACAGGACAAATTGTCTTGTTTTAGTGTCGTTGACAAGAAATAACTTGCTTTGAAGACCTCAGTAATTTTGGGTATATCTTGATTTTCCATCACATTTTGATTTTTAAAGAATAATGTTGAATCTGATATGTATAAAAAAATGTACGACATAGAAGTGTAGTATTATATAATTTTAAAACACAAAAGTACTGATGTTAGAAGAACAAAGAAAGATCTCGAGAGGATTACTGTCACATTCAGTACATTCTCTGTGTTATTCCTATTGATAAGCACTTCCTCCCTTGACATACAAGACCCAAAATACAATAATAGCTAGTATTTGTTACAAATCGAATAATAAATGCGTGCCTCGAAAGCAAATAATGCATTCGACATTGAAGCACTCTATAAATTGAGTTTATTGATAGGAGCAGAAACTGAGTGCGCAAATAGTATGGGATTATAATAGTGGAATAATTGATAGTAGGTAGGTTTGAATATTTGATATATCTGTACGCGAATTTTTCCCATTTAATATTTCAACATCTAAGTCAAACAGTAATTTTCCATTTGCATATTCTCCATTTTGCCTTCTCCATTCTCCGAACGTACTCCAATTTAATTTTTCAACATTTTTAAAGCAATACACGAAAAATTATCTTTATAATTGGGTTCGGCTGTTTGATGTTTTCATTTTGCCATGTAAACTCGAGAGCAAGGATTCTTGGGCGGAACGATGGGAAGAGAAAGCGCGCCTCTCGTGAAATTGCTGTGGATCTGTGCAAACAGGCGGTATTTGAACAGTTTTAGGAATTCAGGCTACTCCGTAATTATATTTGGATTTCAGCCAGATACTTTTTCAGTTTTCGCTTTGTGCACATTTCAATTAGGCAAAATAAAATCATTTTCGTATACGAAGGCGAAGGGAAGACTGACTAGAGGAAAAAATCCATTTCGGCAAATGTGTGTTTCATGTACTTAAAAAAGCTTAATATTTTAAAAAGATACGAGCTCTCCGAAGAGCCTTTTTCATAACTGAAAACACCAATTTCCTTTCCAGGCGTAATTATAATAATCAAGCCCAAATTAGGTTTTAGCAATCCTTTTTCGAGACCTTTGAATAGAATATTGTAGATTTCATTCGACCGTAGCGTGACTCACTTTATTACTTTTTAATTTCTGTCAATTAAGATTTTCCTCTGTTGGCTTTCAATTTGCGCATAAAACACCCTTTTCACCAGCGTGAGCTTGTTTGATGTACTTCCAAAGACAGAATATTTCGAGAGATGCAAGCAAATTTAATTAGAATCGACAGGGAAAAAAGCCTCCCAATGTAAATTAATTACATGAAAAGTCCTCTCCCTCGTTATATTTTCGTGGAATTTTTGTTAGAAAAGATAATACCAGTTTCAATATGACTTTTTGTTTGGATTTGTGGATTGGGACTCGACACCGTTTTCGAACAACCAATTCACAACCATTCTTTAGATTCGATAAAAATTGTAATCTTTTATATCGATATCAATTTTTAATATTTAAATGATATTGACAGTGGACTGTCGGTAGTTAAAATTTGTATTTCGACCAAACAAACAACAAAATATACGACATATTATATAAA